TGAATTTTATGTAAATGAAATAATGCTGTCTGTATATTTTATGCCTTGCTTCCTTCAAATGTTTGTGAGATTCATCCACAAACATTTCATTGTAATTTTTTATTGTTGTATACTATGTCATCATAAGAATATACTACATGGGACTTCCATGGTGGTCCAGTGGTAGGACTCCGGGCTCCTAATGCGGGAGCCCAGGTTTGATCCCTGGTGAGGGAACTAGATCCCGCATGCATGCCGCAACTAAGAGTCCGCATGCCACGACTAAGAGTCTGAATGCTGCAACTCAGAAGTCCGCACGCCACAACTAAAAAAAGATCCTGCATGCTGCAACTAAGACCCGGCTCAGCGAAAATAAATATTTTTCAAAAAGAGAATATACTACAATTTATTTATTCATTCAAATATTCATGAACATTTGGGTTATTTGCAGTTTGGAGCTAGATGATATGAATAATGCATCTATCAACATTGTTTTCATGAGTCCTGGTTCCAGGGTATAGACTCAGAAGTGGAATTATTGGGTGGGAGGATGGGTTACTGACAAATCTAAACCATTTTCTACTGGGAAATGACTTTGGTTTACTTCCTTCTAACACCGTTTCCATGGAAACATGCTGGGCTAATGTAAATACGGAACGCCAGCTGTGTTCCCAGGCAACAATGCTGATTACAAAAATGGCCCCTGATTGGTGAACTATATCAGATTGGAAGGATTATGAGTGGACTCATAGACCCCAAAGGCCTACATGACCAGGACTGAATAGAAAACTGGTTTCTCTGTGGGGTGTTTCTTACAATGGAATACGTTCCTTGTGGGGTCTTAGAAGCTGCCCTGATGATCTGTTACAAGAGGTGGCTCATGTTGTATATAAAACTTCCCTATGCCAGGGTGAGCAACACCCACCCGTACAGTATCATCCAACTGAAGATGCTGAGAAGCAGCCCCTGGACGCTCAAGGAAGATGTACTGGATGCTGTTGTGCAAAGATGCTGTTGTTTCTTGTCCTCTTTCCTTCTACAGAGTTAAGTGAACCTGGTGCCAAGTGACAGCCTATTGGATCCTGTGAGTGTGATGGTCAGGTAAAGCCCAAGACTGCTTCTGGTGACCGTCCATGCGGAGTAGATGCAACCCCAGATCGCAGGGTATGTCTCTATTCAAATTTAATAGATAATGGGGGAAAAATACTTTTCAGGATACTCATGACAATTTAGACTCCCACCAACTGGTGGGGTCTTAGCAACCAACACTTCATAAGAGTTCTCACCATTCCTTCTTTCCCCAGCACTTGGTATTTTTGGACACTAATTTTTGAAAATCTGGTGAGTGTGTAATGATACCTCCTTATGGCTTTCATTTGCCTTTCTCTGAATACTGATGAGTAATAATTCTTCCATTCATTGGACATCTGAATTTCTTACTTGGTGATGTGCCCACTCAAGTCCTTTGACTGTTTTTATTTCTTTAATTTTTTATTTTTTTAATTAATTAATTTATTTTTGGCTGCATTGGGTCTTTGTTGCTGTACTTTCTCTAGTTGCGGTGAGCGGGGGTTACTCTTCGTTGAAGAGCACAGGCTCTAGGTGGGTGGGCTTCAGTAGCTGTGGCACGCGGGCTTCAGTAGTTGTGGCTCGCGGGCTTAGTTGCTCTGCAGCATGTGGCATCTTCCTGGACCAGGGCTCAAACCCGCGTCCCCTGCATTGGTAGGAGGATTCTTAACCACTGTGCCACCTAGGAAGCCTTCCTTTGACTGTTTTTAAATTGAGCTGACTCTTTAATGATTTGTAAGAGATCCTTATATGTCCTTGACGCTAGGTTCTTTGTCAGCTACGTCTTACAAATAACCTTCAGTACTGTGACTTAGTCTGCACACTCTTTATGGTTCTTTTGATGAACAGGAGTTACTAATTTTAAAGTCATGGAATGTATCAATCTTTTCCCTTAAAAGTAGAGATTTCTGTAACTTAAGAAATGTTCTGCACTTTCACACATTTAGACCTTTGATTCATCTGGAATTAGTTTTGGGGACAGTGAGAGGTAAGTGTCTGGTTTCATCTTACAGTATGGATATCCAATTTTCACAGCACCATTATTAGAATCCTCCTTTTCCCATTTCTTGAAGTCAAATATCAAGTGTCCACATATGCATAGGTCTCATCCCCGTCTCTCTGTTCTGTCCCATTATCCCACTTGATTAGCCCTGCATCAATTATAAGAGATTTATTTATTTATGTCGCATCGTGCTGCATGTGGGATCTTAGTTCCCCAACCAGGGATCGAACCCGTGCCCCCTGCATTGGGAGCATGGAGTCTTAACCACCGGACCGCCAGGGAAGTCCCATAAGACCTTTATAATAAATCTTGATAACCGATAGAGCAAATCCTTCCATATTGTTCTTCTTTTAAGTAAATTTTAGTCATCTTGTTCATTGCACTTCTCTATAAACCTTAGAATCTCTTTATCAATTCCATCCATTAAAAATAAAAACTTTCAGTGTTTTGTAGGGATTACACTGATTCTATAAATCAATTTGGAGACCTGACATTTTACAACACTAACTCTTCCAATCCATGAATATGGTATATTTCTACATTTATTAAATTCTTCTTCAATATCCCTCAATAAACTTTTACAATTTACTCTATCGAGGTCTTGCACACTTTTGTTAGATTTCTTCCTAGGTACTTCTTTTGGCTATTATAAATTTGTCTTTTCTTCTTCTATTTTCTAATAGTTATTGCTAACACAGGGAAATATTAATTTTGTATCCAGCCACATTGTTAAAATACCTTGTTAAGAATACCTTGTTAGGGCTTCCCTGGTGGTGCAGCGGTTGAGAGTCCGCCTGCCGATGCAGGGGACATGGGTTCATGCCCTGGTCCGGGAAGATCCCACATGCCACAGAGCAGCTGGGCCCCTGAGCCATGGCCGCTGAGCCTGCGTGTCCGGAGCCTGTGCTCCGCAACGGGAGAGGCCACAAAAGTGAGAGGGCCACGTACCGCAAAAAAAAAAAAAAAAAAAAAAAAAAGAATACCTTGTTAAAATACCTTGTCTCTTAGTACGTTGAAGTTACAAGACACAGTCTGACTTCCAATGTTTCTTTTGAGAAATCAGTTGTCAGTCTAACTGTGGCTCCTTTGAAAGTAATGCCTTTTAACAATTTTCTGGCTGCTTGTATATTTTGGAAATTTCCATATGTCCTGCATAAGCGTGGCTTTTTTGTTCATCCTGTTTTGGACTCTAAGGCATCCTTGAATCTGTGGATTCATTCTTTCATTGGTTCTGGAAAGTTCTCAGATATTATCCTGTCACACATTACCTCTGTCCCGTTCTCTTTCTGTTCTTCTGAAACTTTTATTAGACAACTGTTAAACCTTCTCACTAGATCTGCAATTGTCTTGACCACCCTTCCACATTTCTCATCTTTTTGTCTCTCTGTGTGAGATTCTGGGTGATTTCTTTGGAACACATTCTTTCTTCAGTTTTTTGGGGGGTTTTTGGGGTTTTTGTGGCTGCATTGGGTCTTCGTTGCTGCGCGCGGGCTTTCTCTAGTTGTAGCGAGTGGGGGCTACTCTTCGTTGCGGTGCGCGGGCTTCTCATTGCAGTGGCCGCTCTTGCTGTGGAGCATGGGCTCTAGCATGCGGGCTTCAGTAGTTGCAGCATGCGTGCTCAGTAGTCGTGGCGCACAGACATGTGGGATCTTCCCAGACCAGGGCTTGAACCCACGTCCCCTGCATTGGCAGGCGGATTCTTAACCACTGCGCCACCAGGGAAGCCCCTTTCTTTGGCTTTTATTTGGCTTATTGTCTATCTCCCCAGTAGAATGTAAACTACATGAGAGCAGATTCCTGTCTGTTTTATTCACTACTGTGTCTTCAACACCTAGAACAGCACCTGGCACTTAGTAGACACTCAACAAATACTTGTTGAATGAATGACTATCACCAGACAACTACATCCTTTCTTGAGCTCATGAGGAACTTTACAGAGCTCTATTCAGAGGACCCACCTGACCTACAGTTCTCCATAATCCAGTTTCTTAGGGCAAAGGAATCTATGGAGTCAAGATAATAAGATCATCCCGGTTGGACCTGTCTCTGGTGAGTTCCCATGAAAGACTAAGGAAAGCCAGCTCCGGCAGCCAACACACTACACACATGTACTACCATGAAACAGCCAAAATTTTGAGGTGTGTAAATCAGACAGAATTCAGCTTCCAAAAGGCAGCTCAGGGTGACATTGAGAGCTGAACAAACGGACTGATTGAAAGTCAAATGTAATAAAACTATAGAACATGTAGTAGACGGAAAAATGCCCCTCACCCTCCTGCCCAGACGTCCACATCCAAATCCCTGGAACTTGTGAATATGTCACTTGAAGTGGCAAAAAGGACTGTATCTGTGTGTTTATGAACTGTGTCACAATGAATCGTGGTCCTAAAAACTGAAAAGAACACAGGCCTAGAAAAGTCACATTGTTTGCAGGGCCAAATAACAAGGTCTTGAAGCAAATAGGAAAAATCTGTCTAGGGAATTCCCTGGCAGTCCAGTGGTTAGGACTCCGTGCTTCCACTGCAGGGGGCAAGGGTTCAATCTCTGGTCAGGGAACTAAGGTCCCACATGCCACACGGCACGGCCAGGAAAAAAAAAATCTGTCTAGACTCTGCTGAGTTACCCACATCCTCTTTTTGCAGATAAAGAAACTACGGCCCAGAGAGGTGAAGACTTGCCCATGGTCACATAGCGCTGATGTGCCAGGACCAGGATTCTAATGCAGGTTTCACTGACTCCAGAAGGTGAATCTTTCCCCCTTAACCACCTTTTTTGAAGGTGTGGGGCTGTACTAAGCACTAAATACTCATATTCCTACCGGAGCCTGAACACAACTCCCCCAGGGAGATGCTTTCAATAACCCCATTTTTCAGATGAGGAAGGGAAGGCTCAAAGAGGTTATGACACACGCTCCTAAGTAAGATCCACCAGGTCTGGTCTCAGAACCCACCTGCCTGTCCAGGGCTCTGGTCTGCTCCTGCAGCTCCTTGACCTCAGCCTGCGCCCGGACCCGGCACTTGAGCAGGTGACCCATGTTTTCCAGCTTCTTGCTGTCCTGCAGCCGCGTGACGTGGCTCTGGGCAATGCTGATCTGGACCTGCAGTTTGTCCCGCACCCCCTCCAGGCGCTGGATCTCCTCACTGCCCAGGCAGGGAAGTGGAGGGGAAGCCAGAAAGGGGCAGAGCTCGGCCTCACTAAAGTCCAGACACACTGGGCCTTCCCTCCCCCGTCAGCCCCAGGAGGAGACCAGCACCCACCTCCTCAACAGCCCCGCCCCAGCTCCAGGGCCCCAGGTGCTTGGCTCACAGTTGCTTGTTGATGCGCTGGTGGACCTCCTTGCTGTAGGCTCGCCTTTCACCCTCCATCACTTTGCATTGCCGCTGCAGTCTGCTCAGCTCCCAATCCACTGAGGTGGGACCAGGCCAGGGAGGGACTCCATAGGAATCCAGGTTCCAGCCCCTCCCTCCCCAGCACCTAGGAATTCTGGCTCCCTGAGGGTCTCACAAACTTCAACTGAACTGCAGACCCAGTTCCCAACACCACTCTAGGGCTGCACCTCAGTTCCTGTATCCCTCAAGCTCCCTCATCCCTTCACACTTCCTGTACCCCAAGCCGACCTTCGCATTTTTCCCCTAAACCCACTCCTACCCGGGGCTTGGGCACACATGTTTCCCCACTAGAGGGCACTCCTCGGAGGACTCACAGTCCTCAGGGACCAGAAGCACAGGACCTGGAACTTGGGAAAGCTGAGGACAGGTGCCAAGACCCCCGGGGCACCACTGCTGTTCCCTCCCTCCCCTTCAGCCCACTGCCCAGCCTTCCTCAGCCCCACCTCCCGCCTCCTCGCTCTCAGCCCATCCCCCTGGCTCAGGCCTCATCCTCCCCTTTCTGGACCGTCACGCCATCACCCCAGCCTCCTCCCTAACCTCCTGGCCTCCCCTCACAGCTCCAGAGGTCTTTCTATACCTAGAGCTGTCACAGGCCTCCCTGGCGCGCCAGCATCTCCAGGACAAAGTCCCAGTTCTTCACCCTGGTGTTCAAGGGCCCACAGACCCGACCCTACCCACCTCTCCGGTCTCGTCCACTAGCTCCCCATCTCTCACGGCCCAGTGGTTCTCAACCAGGAGCAATTGTGCCCCCTTAAAGACATATGGCCATGTCTAAAGACACTTTTGATGGTATGGTGCTGGGGCAGGTTGGGGGGTGCTACTGACATGAAGTGGGTAGAGGCCAGGGATGCACTGAGCATCCTCCAACACACAGGACAGTCCCCCGGATAGCAGGGAATGATCTGACATCTGACCCCAAGGGTCAACAATGTGGAGACTGAGAAAGCTTGCTCTAGTCATATGCTGTTCTCTCTGCGGAAACACTCTTCCCTTCCTTCTCCTGTTGGTAATTCCTGAGAGAAGTTCTGGGCCCCGCTCAAACTTCTGCAGTAAGTCTTCCCGGCCGTTCCACTCCCCAGGCTTGGCCCGCCCATCTGCCCGGCTCCACCTCCATTCTGGAGCCTGTGCGTTTCCCCACCAGAGGGCGCTCCCGAAGTCCCTCCCTGTCCCCAGTGCCTGTTGCACAGGACCTGAAACATGGGAAAACCGGGAAAAGAATGAATGAAATAAAGAATGTATGAATTACCCGTTCCCTCCAGGAAGGCCTCGCTTCCATGCTCGGAACGAGCGCTCCCAGCAGAGAGTCCTAAAGGCATCTTGGCCAAAGAGGGTGGGGCTCCTGTAGGGGTGGGACAGGACCCCTTCAGACGGCGAGCAGGAGAGGGCTATAGGAGGAGGGCGGGCGATGAACAGCGAGGGGCTAGGAATTGGAAGAGAGTGACCCCAGAACTAGCTCTGGCCTTTCTTTGAGTCTCAATTTCTCCAGTGGGTTGGAGTGGGACATCTCTAGGGTCTCTTCCCATGCCTCTCCCGACCTCCCACCTCTCACATTCTCTGTCTTGCGTCGCGGCTCTGACTCTGGCGGGGGGTCTTCTAGGCTCTCGGTATCTCCGAGGCGGGGCTGTTTGCGGAGGGGGCACAGAGAAGGGGAAAATCCCCCAACCCCGTCGGCTCAGGGGAGTGAGGCCTGGTCCCTACCTGCTGGGCTGGAGTGCCTGACATGTCCTGGATGCTCCAAGCTCACTGTTGTGGTCTGGTTACTGGGGAGATGAGGGGCCAATGAGGCCTGAGGACAGCAGCCGGGGAGGGACCAAGGCCACCGAAGAAAGCCGTGGGAGGGGAGACTGGGGAGGAGAGGCCGAGGAGGCCACGAGACCTGCGGGGAGCTCGGGTGCTATGAGCAGATGAGTTAGGGGAGCCCTGCGAGGGGCGGGGCTAGAAGGCTGCGATGGGCGCGGCTTCGGGGTCCTGCCAGGGGCGGGACCTGTGGGGGCGGGACTGTAGGCCTTGTGAGGGACAGGGTTGGGAGGGCCTGTGAGGGCGGGACTGTAGCCCTTGCGAGGGGCGGAGCTGTAGAGGACGACGAAGGGCGGGACTGAAAAGGCCTCTGAGGAGAGGGACTGGGTGGGCCTGAGGGGCGGGGCTTCAGGGGAGGGCAGAGCTGCCGGGGCCGGAGAGGGTTGGGGCTGGCGAACCTCAGCAGGGAGTCAGAAACCCGTCCAGGCCGGGGCTTCGGAGCCTTGAGAGGGGAGGGGGAAGGATACCTGTAGAGGGCGGGGCTGAGGGCATTGTGAGGGGTGGGGCTTCGAGGGCTGAAAGGGGCGTGGCTGGAAGAACACGGGAGGGGTCTGGTGGGAGGGCGCCGGAAGAGCGCGGATTCCCAAGATTTGTGGCGGGGGTGGGGGACGACTAACTCGGAGGCACTCAGGCTCAGAGATCCTGGGGAAGGAGGTCGAGATGGTCTATTTGGGGAGCACAGGGTTGTGAGGGCTGGGCTGTGTTTCCAGGAGGGAGAGAGAGTAGCTAAAAGAGCCTGTGGAGGCAGGGCTGGGAGGGAAACGTCTGAAAGGCTTTGGAACTGGGCCAAGGTCCTTCGGGACGGGGCGTGAGAGATGCGTGTCTTAAGCTGATTAAGACCACGTTATTTTGAGGATTCATCAGCAGGCACGCGGTGCCGATGCCGGAAATTGTGAGGGGGGAGGAGCGCTCACCGCCGCCTCAGGTCCTCGAAGCGGCTGACTACGCATGCGCGGCCAACGGCCTCGGGAGAGGCAGCCAAAAACCCACAGCCGCTTTAGAGGTCCGCGCACTGAGAGGCGGAAGTGGGCGGGGCCTAGGGCGCTCCGTGCCGCGCCTGCTTTCCGGCCACGCCCCCATGGCGGCGCCCCTAGCCCCGCAGGGCACGCCCTGTTGACGGCCTGTTGCCCCCTTGACGACAGGCGGCTTACCCCGTGGGCCTCTACAGAGCGGGCTGGCAGTAGGCACCGCTCCATGCAGGCTGGGTGTGCCCGATGCCTGCGGTTTCCTGTAGGAGGAAGCGGTCCGCGGGCGCTCAGCTCGTAGCTTTGGAGGCCCCGGAGGGGGAGATCCCCCCACCGCCCTCGGGTCCCCTGATTCTCCCCCTTCTATAGGGCCCTAGCATGGGGGACCCCCTGCCCCGAACACCCCCGGGGTGCCCAACTCTGGCGCTGATTCCGCTCTGGGAGCTTGATTCAGAGTCCTAGCCTCCTGTTCCCCACCTCCCCCCCTCAAATTCCATCTCCCTAGACCCTAGTCCCCAGACTCCTCCCAGGACCCAGGTCCAGTCCCCTTGCCTCCTTGAAGAGCATACGATCTCAGTCCCTCATTGTTCCCCCAGTGACCCAGGCTTTCTAACTTACCTGGGGAACTGATTTCAGACCTCCAGTCTCTTGTCCTTCTCAAAGATGTAAACTGCAACTTCTTTATTCCCCACCCCCAGGAACCTTCATTTTGTACCCCCAACTTTGTAGTCTTGGGACCCAATGGACCCAAGATTTTGCCCCTTCCCCAAATCCTAGAGACCTTGATCTTGGGTCTCCCAGTACTGAATCCACTCAGGGCCCCAGTGTCTGGTATGACAAGCACATAACAACAGTGCTTACTTGGTGCCAGGCACTCCTCTAAGAACTGCTCCATGATGTATTTACTATTATTATTTCGATTTTACAGATAAAGAAACTGTGGCATAAAGAGATTAGTAACTTGCCCCAAATCACAGCTAATGAGTAAAGCAGTTTCAATTTGAATCCAGCCAGCATATCTCTATAGAGTCTGTGCTATTGTGATTTCCAGGTGTCCCGAGTACCCACCCAGTCACTGAACTGCCCTTCCCTCACCCCCTCAGGGAGCCCAGATGACCAGCCATTCTCCCTTCCTCTAGCTCTGGCCCAATCAGATACCCAGACATCCCATCGTTCAGTTCCCTTCCCTTGTACTGACCCAGGATTTCAGTTCTCCAGCTCTTAATTCCATATTCCAGATATCTGGTTCCCTGTCCCTCATTTTTCACCAAGCACCCAACCCTGCCAAGAGACTCAGGTACTTAGTGGTGATCACCCCCCACCGTAATTCAGTAACCCAAGAATTAAATAACAATGATAACAATAATAGTTGACATTAAGTCCCTGGTACTGCACTTCTGTTTAAAACCCTCCACTGGTTTCCAACTGCACTTAGAATAAAATCCAAACTCCTCCTCTAGGCTTCAAGGGCCCTCTTTGATTTCCCTTCCTACCACTCTCTCTCGTTCCCTATGTTCTGGCCACACTGGCCCTTCTGTCTTCTTCTCAAACAACCTGAACTTGTTCTCAAAGGCCTGTGCACGTCCTCTCCCTGCCCCGCATTCAGATGACTCCCGTCTGCAAGTCTCAGCTCAGATGTCACCTCCTCAGAGAGGCCTGGCCAGATCACCCTTTTAAAGTAGCCTCCCATCATTAGCAGTCTATTTTATTTCCTTCAAAGCCTTTATCACTATCTGAAATCTATCTTCTTCACGATGTTTTGTCTTTATCGTCCCTCTCCCTCAACTAGAAGGGAAACTCCATAAGAGCAGCAGGGCTCCCATCTGTTTTCTTCATTATTAACTCCTGGTTCATAATAGATGTCCAATGAATGTTTGATGAGGAAAGGAATAAACATGTTAGGTGTGTTAGTGTACTGGTATTACCTTATTCGTTTAGAATAAGTATCAGAATTATTATCAGTATTAGTATATTGTCAGTATTATGAGTAGTATTGTACCCACCTCATAGATTAGGAAACTGAGGCTCAGAGAGTTGAAATAATTGGTCAAGGTCCCCCGGGCAGGAAACAGTAGCCCTGGGTTCTTAACTTCCACCTCCTGCCCCCTTCTGGAGTTCCACACTTCCTCATATCCCATCCCCTGACCCCGACCATGGTGCCAACGCCACCAGCCCTCACCTCACTCCACGCTGCAGGAATCTGGCCTCATCCCTCAGTCTCCCATCCCTCTGAGGATTCATTCCTAAGCCCCATCAAGGAAAGCAGACATCAGTCTCAGGACCAGTCCCAGAGCAGAGGCCTGAGAATCAAATCCTCCCACCCCTGATGCTTGCCCCACCTGAGGGCCCCAGCTCTGTTCCCTTCCTGCCAAGGACGCATCATCTCAACCGCAGGAGGGAGCCCCAGAAGATGCCTGTCTGGGGGCCGTGGGTGGGGGCCCAGAGAATGAGGAATCCGAGTGCCTGGGCCCTCCCTCTGGCTGCAGACCTCAGCTGGGTGTGGTGAGGGTGGGTATAAAAGGGTCAGTATATATTGAGAGGAGCAGAGAAAGAGAAACCAGGAGAGTGAGGAGAGAGAGGAGGAAGGAGGTACAGACAGTGAGGACAGGACCGAGAGAGACGAGAGGCAGAAGGAGAGAGAGAGGGAGAGAGGGAGACGGGGAGAGAAAGAGAGTTCCGGGATTGGAGGGGAGAAGGAGGGAGAGAGCAAGAGGGGAGAGGGAGGGAGGGAGGGAGAAAGGCGGTGAGAGGCGGGGGCCTCGACAGGGTGGAAGGAGGGAGGAGAAGGGCGGGGCACGGAGGCCCAAGCGAGGGACCAGACTCAACTCTGACTTTTTCCGCCGCGCTCGGTAAGTTTCCAATCCGTTATTCAGACTGGGATTCTTTCTTTACCTGGGTGTGCAGCAGTTTGGAAAGGAGACCCCCAGCTTGGGAGAAGCTTGGAAATCCTGGTAATTTAAGAAGTGATCTCTTTGCACTTGGGGTGGAGACTTGGGAAGGGGTGGAGCCCGGCAAAGTTTGAGGGTTCCCAACAGAGCCTCCCCACCCGAAAACTTCCTGCCGTTTTTTTCCTGTGTCTGTCCACTCCCCCCGAGGACCCTGAGGTCAGGGCTTCTCGTGAGAACAAGCAGAGTCTGGGGACCCTTCAGCCACCTCCCCTCACCCCTCTCCCGCCCTTTCTGGACACTTGAAGGGTCATGGGAAGCTGGCTCCTCCTTCTTGGGCCTCTCCCCACTCCCAACACGGATCTTGCCCACTTTCCCTACAAGGTGTCTAGTAGACACTAGTCTGGCAGCAGGGTGGGGTGCGGACATCATGGGCATAGCCAGGGGCTGGGGTTTCCCTGGTGTTTGGGAGGCAAGGGGGCGAGATGAGTCACCGACCAGATGACTCACCGGGTCCCCCTTCCTCCCCCCACCCCAGGAGAGGAGTGGGGTGACTCAAGTATGCCTGATTCTGGGGGCAGACCCCAGCTTCTGATGAATCTGAACAGGCGGCAATATGAATTTTCAGAACCTGGCCCATAGGTGCCCAGGGACAGGGCTCTGAGGAGATGGGGGCCACATTGCTAGTCTTACTCATTCCCGACCCGAGAGTCCATCCCTGGCCCCCTGCAGGCCCTGGGGAATTCAGGAGTCCGGGCCCCGGGCCCCCAGCCCCCTCCTCCTTCAGACCCAGGAGTCTGGAGCCCAGCCTCCTCCTCTCTCAGACCGGGAGTCCGGGGCTCCTAGCCCCCTTTTCCATTAGACCTGGGAGTCTGGACTCAGCCCCCTTCTCCACCAGAATTCAGACATGTCCCCCGCCCCTGTGCCAACCTCTTGACGTGATGGTCTCCTGACGTCCCCACCCAGGCTTCCAGCGCAGCCATGTCACTCCTCCTGCTGGTGGTCTCTGCCCTTCACATCCTCATTCTCATCCTGCTTTTCGTGGCCACTCTGGACAAGGTAAGCTTACTTGGAGTAGGAGCCTCCCGCTCTCCTGCAGACTCCTGCCACGCCCCTCCGCTAGTCACTCTGGCCCCGCCCCCTTTCCCTAGCACTCACCCTTCTGAGCTCTGCCTCCACCCTACGTGCCTCGCCCCGGCCCCACTTTCCTACTAAATCCATGCTTTCCCATGGCACCTTGCCCTTTTCCTAACCCTTCCTAGTCTCCCTAACTTTGTCCTTGTTCCTCTGTCCATCCCAGTCCTGGTGGGCCCTCCCCGGGAAGGAGTCCCTGAATCTCTGGTACGACTGCACATGGAACAGTGACAACAAAACGTGGGCCTGCAGTAATGTCAGCGAGAATGGTGAGGGGTGAGGGGCATTGGAAACTGGTCTGCAAAAGGGAGGGGTAACCCCAAGTATCCTCCCGGGACCAAGGATTGGGAACCCCCCAAGGTTTGAGTGGGCGGGTCTGGGTCCCCATGCTGAGTGACCGAAGCTGATGTATGATGACCCATCTATCTGGATGGTAGGGGGAAGTATGCTCATATTCTAAAGAGGATGGGCTAAAAGCCCCACTCCCTGTGATTCAGAAGGAATGGAGGCCACATGCTCTAGGTTTAAAGAAAGGGGGAAAAACTCCCAAGATCCTGAGAAGACATGATTATGTTTCCAAAGTTCTAAGGAGACAGGTGTTCTGAAGGGGTGGCTGGGAACAATCTTTCCAAGTTCCAATGGGGTGGACCACATTACGTTTCTAAAGAGGTGAGGCTGAATCCTTCTAAGGTTCTAAAGAAGTGGGGCCAGGTGCATCTGAGTTCTAAAGGGGCGGAGCTGCATCCATAGAAATTTTGAAGTCAAGGTGAAAGATTAAATGCTTTTTGCCTAAGAGCAAGTAAGAATTTTTGCTCTCCTTCTATACAACATTGTACTGCAGGTAGCCAAA